GTGGGGTCGTGTGTAAATAAGAATTAAAAATTTACAATGTAAGATCTAATCTAGTTTAAATAAAAATTTTTCTATCTGACTGGCTGGATGGCTGGCTGCCCGAACCTGCCTATCCATTATTTTGTCCTTTTGTCCATCAATCCTTCCCTCCGTTTGTCTGTCATTGGTTGTTTTAAGCGAGACCGACAACAGCAAGATCTAGCAGTGTATTACCCTTTGGTGCGATCTCCATAAACACAAACCACTAGCTATAGCGCACTTTAATGTATTAACTTACTGATGCTCGACACTTTAAATCGGTCTTAAATGTCAGTTTTTTCTAAGGTCATTAGATATCTTCAGAGTACAAAATACATTAAGCTTATTTAGCGAAAGGCGAGAAACCGCATATCACCTTGGGGACTGATAATAAACTAACTGTTCTATTGCCGCGCACAAACTATCATAAAAATAGATTTAGCTATAGTAATGCCATTCTTTGGTACAGTCTTCCTTGTGACTTAAGGGAAGCAGAGTCCCTGAGGAAGTTCGCCTACTCAAAGGAGATGCATAAAGCACGGCGTTCATGGAAAGCAGCTTTTTTTGTTTAAATGTTTTTATTGTACAGACATAAGAAATTAAATGTATTAGGTAGTCTTAAGCTGACGAATTTTCGCCGTTATATAATAAAGATTATGTTTTGCTTGTTTGTTTGTTTGTTTGTTTGTTTGTTTTAGTATGAGAGTGCTATTATTATCTGATCTCCTTTTTGAAGAACTTTTTTGGTCCAACTTGCCAGACGAATAGTAAAACAATGTTATCAACAAAATACAAGCATCGCCACGCGGCTGCTCAAAAATTCGCTAAGGCATCTGAAAAACAGAAAAACAAATTCACAGAACAAAATGTAAATGATATGCTGTGGCAACATACTGTCAGATGAGCTGGTAGGTGTTGTGGCCATGGTGGCTGGTATCCCAGTGTCTCGTGTGCCTGTTATGGCACTCACATTAAAATCTCCAAACCTTCCATTCTTGACAGCATATTGAAGTATAGAAAGAACCTCGCTTTCTCTTACAGTGGAAGTGAATTTCAGGGCCAGATCAACAATTACACTTCCACACCTTGGAAGAAAAAGGGAAACGTTAAGTTCAAACTGAACTAATGACCAAAAAGAACAAGAAATTATTTTACTACATAAATAGAAAATTTCCAGATGGTTGAATCTCACACAAAACGAAGCGCTTGAACAAATGAAGTGGACTTTTTTTTATTTCTGTAGGTAATCGTACGAATGCGAGTGCAATTAAGCCAAGATTTACACTGTGACTGATGTTTGAAAATTCTCTAAAAACTGTATGAGCCTTTAGGATATTGCAGACTCCTTTCCCAACGCTCTTCGAGATGTGCCGAAAAAAGGCCCGAAAGTTTTCTGCCCAAAAATTAAGTACAAAAAAAAAGTTACTTAAATTTTTAAAGATCAAGTAATTAATCTGAAACTGTTAGCATACCTGATTCTTTTCAGTTGCACCCTTTCATAACCCAGTTTACCAGCAAAGATACTGTCCAATGAAAATGAAAATAAAAACTAACTATAAATATGTTTACTGCTTTACCAGGATGCTTGTAGTCTTCAATGAAACATCTATTTGGCGCGAAAAAATTTTATTTTTGAGACGCAGTCCGTTTAAGAGCAAAGCTCGAGGAAAACTGCCGGCTTCGAAGAACAGTTTCTGTCCAATGGCAAATATCTGAGCACATTCGTTATGTGTTTACTAACGTTCAAATATGTTTTGCAAACATCCGCACGATCTCTTGAAAACTGGGGATCATCACTGGGATATTCTCCAGTTTTAGCTGGGGTATCTTCAATCACGTGACGCGTTCAGATTAGTAAATGAGGCAGTAAGCGTGTCATGCTGGAATGTTGTACATTGCGCTTCATCTATGTGCGCTGTATTGGACCCTTACACTTAAGAACCTTCTAGAGAAACCTACAAAATTTCACTGTCAGTACACGTCAAGTGTACATGTCAATAACGACTGCCCGAAAGCAGCGACGGTCGAAAGGCTGTGACCGAAAAATTATTCGCTTTTTTTTTTTTTTATCAAACAAGAAGAATATAGGCTGTATCAAGAAAATCCATGCAAGTATTCTCAATTCTGAACAAAGTCGATCGTTGAGACATTTCCGTTAATCATGATTTATGCTATTTTGAGAAAATTTCGCTTTTTCCCTCATCTCAGGGACCACTTACGCGTACATGTGAAGTTTGTAACCTAGGTTTTTCACAAAAAGGGTTTATCCAAAATTTTACAGAGGCCCAAGTGAGCGAGTCTTGATTCCATGAATGCAAGACGCAGAAAACTCAGTTACATTAAATATAGACTGTGAACTGTGCTTGGTTGATTGTTAATAGTCCAGGACGCATTCTTTGTGTTTATAAACAATGTTTTGGACACGTAAAATACCTACATGTAACATTTACTTTAAATACTTGGCTAGCTACATTTCCAAATCCGTTGTAAGCTGTACAGCGGTATGTCCAAGAGGCAATTCTGTTAATGTTTGGAAAATTCCATGTTGGACCCTGGTGCAGTACTTCACCATTACTACCATCCTCCAGCACTCTGTTCCAGGTGATATTTGGTGTTGGTTTACCAATTGCTTGGCAAACCAAAGTCATGTTTGATCCTTCAAGCACGGTGCGGTCATGGCTAACATTAATTAGCTTGGCAGGAACTGAAAATAGAGATACAATGACAGTAACGCATCCCTGACACTCAAACAGGTAATGTGGCTTTGCCAGGTGTTTTACAGAACAAC